CACAAATTTCGAGTGGTGTTGTGATTGTAGTTGAATCAAAACCGTCAATAATGTAGGGGTGGTTATAAGAACCCACGAGGTGGACGAATCGCGCACAGGGATATGAATAGGGCGAGTCCATCTCCGGTAACCATATTCAAATACTAGGAAAAAATATTATGCAAATTATTATTAATAATTTTTAAAATATACTATGTAAATAAAAAAGGTTCATTTCATATATAATATGTTTATCATGTATGTAGATAAACATCTTCACATATCTGAAAACGGTCATCACATATTTCAAAATTTTCATTGCATATTCATAAAAAATGATTATCGAGCATTTGTAAAAAAATTCCCCGCATATTTAGATAAAACAATTCATCATTCATTTGCTAAAATGTTCACCACATGCTTGCAAATACGTCATGTATAAAAAAACATAGGAAAGAAAAAAGATGAATAGAAAAAACAAAACGAAATAAAAGAGAAAAAAACTAATAAGAGAAGCAAAGAAGAAACTAGCGGAAAAACTAGAACAAGAAAGACAAGAACCGGTGGAAAAATGAAGAAAAGAAAAAAACTCACGCAGGTTCCAAGTTCCCTACCCGCTCATCCATCAGCCCATAAGTTTGCTCTTTGCGCCTTCCTCGATAGCCGTCAAATTGGGCTCCATGCACGGGCACCGGCACCACCTTCGCATTTGTCACCGGCCACCGCTGCCAACACTGCCGAGTCATATTCCATGGGTACCTCCCTTGTGCCTCCCAAATGATTTTAGTTATGGTTAATTTTTTTTCTTTATTTGAACCTGTAATATTGTTTCTTTCAGATGGAGTGTGTACAATTAGTACTCATATTTCTTTTGTTTTGTTTCATTTGATTGACGACCAGTACTCATCTCCTTTTTGTTTCATTGTCTATCAGTATTCATCTTGATTGATCCGTCGAAAAGGCTATTGATTTCCAATTAAACCAAGCAGGCTATTTATCAACTAGGGCGAGTCTGAACTATCACTCGCCTTCACCTATTCGCCAGTGGGCCGCAGCTCACTATCCAGCAATCTTTTCTTTTCCATGTGTATGCTCACCTCGGGTGCAGTTGATATATTTATTTTACCATCCGTCACTTGCTCTAGTATCAGATCTTTCGTCGTTTTTCTGTTCTGTGGCTAGCCAACCACCGGTATGAGCACGTGACGGGCTGATGTCAAACCAATGAACATTTGTGAAGGGGCCCCGATTGAATTTGAGGTGTTGCAACCCCGAAACCCTGTTCTTATACTCGAGATTTCTTGATGACCGAAGAGATAATAAGACAGTTTATTCATTCATCTTAAAGATACCTTTTTGCGATGCCTCTTGTTTGCGAACTAGCCAAGATTTGTGAGTAGTCCCCACAGCCCACATGTGTGCTTACAAAGTATGTGGTGTGTTTATGCTATGAGTTGGTATCATGACTCCGAGCTTATCAAAAGTGAGCAGCATCCTGGCGTCAACGATCTGTGTGGGTCTGAGCCTTGTGATGGCGACGGGCATCGTGACATCGGGGATTTGAGTGACTTACGACTTGGCAAAGGCGTGCGGCGTCGGGGATCAGTGTAACTTCAAGCTAGCGAAGGCAAGGGGTGTCGTGACGTCGACGAGCCTTTCACCTTTTGCAGGAAACGCTCTTTACTTTACTTGTTTTTTTACTTCGGCCGAAAATTGTTTAGATCAAGCCATCTAGCTTCATCAATTCACGGCTTACACTTGGTGAGGATTTGGCACCGTAGATTGCCATGTTGTTGTAGCACTGAAAACTAAAGGTGATTAGTCACCCCTATAGGGTAGGTTGGCGTACGTTGATAATATTGACACACCAATGTTTTTTTTACATGTTCAATCATCTTGATGGAGCACGACCTATTCGTAAGATATGAAGGCATCAAGGGAGGTCTGTTGTAGAGTGAAATAAAATTGTGGATCATTTATGTGGACTATTATTTATACATATGCCCAAAAAATTGATTCCATTAGTTATGAAGAAGTTTGAATTCCAATTCATTTAAATTTAATTCAGATGGGTTTCAATTAAAGGTATGAGAAAATTGCGGTTTAAAATTACGGGAACTTTTTGGAGGCTAGGAATGTGACAAGAAGGCCATGTGCAAAGTTGTGGGGCAATTGAAAAAAAAATGAATTTGTAAATATTTGAATCATGTGCAAATTGGATACTTCAAAAATCTAAACGCACGATACTTCAAAAATTCCATGTGTTGCTCAGAAGATTAATGATATTGTTGATTACATGAAATGCAAACTATGAATTCGATAAAAAGAACAAGCATAAAATAGGGTTGCTACTGTTGGCATGTTACAATCTATGCTCTGAAACATGCACTTTTAGCATTGCTTTGAACTGTGCATTTCTGCTCCTTATGATACTCTTTTAGTTGTGGATTTGCTAATTATATTTATTTATTTTTGATCGGAGCTAATTATATGTTTGTACTCCCACTGCCCGGGTTTATTGGGCCCATTGAACAGACGTGTTTACTTTTCCCTGGTTCCTTCCGCTTCAACAGGCATGCAAAAATGGAATTGGCAATGGTCGCATGCAGGGCTGCAAGAAAAGCTCGAGGGTCGTGAGCCGCTCGAGATCGACTTGTTTTTTGACTCGACTCGAGATCAACTCAAAAATAAACAGTTGAGTTTGAACACTTTATGTAGCTTGACCGAGAAATGAGCCGATCTTGAGCTAATGTTGGCTCGCTCGAGTTTAGCTCGATAGCTCGACAGAATATCATTATGTTAAATGATCATGCCATATGTTAAATGAAAGTAAGATAATTTATTACCATATATGTTGTCCATAATTTTTTTACATTTTATTTGCCAACGAACATGGAAACTTAATTAAGTGCAGAGAAGATTTAGGCCTAATTATGTCACGTGGTCGACTATGTGTTAAATATATTATATTTTTGGCAAAAGTTTCCAGCATATTCACCTTAATTTTTTTGTTTTTCATCCACAGGTTTATAATTTTTACCATCTCATTTAGCTCGAAACTAGCTTGAGATCGACTCGAGATCGTTACAAACTGAGCATGAGTCATGTTCTACTGCTCGATCATGAGCTTCACTTAGTTTGAGCTCGCTCGAATTTTCATATGAGTTGGCTGAGACAACTCCAACTCGCTCGAGCTCGACTCGTTTGCAACCCTAGTCGCATGCTGTAATTGCTACTGGTCAGCATTGGACGTACGCTTGACTGACAGGAGGCAAATATGTGGTGTATGATCGGCTACATGCAATGACTGTAAATTAATTTGATTGACTGTTCTCATAGACCCTTCCCTTTCGTGATCTGAAAAATAAAAGCACCTCCACTTCCCTCCGATCCCCTCAAACACCACCGTTTCCCCTTCGCCTTCGCTCCTAAGGTTTCTGGCCTCGCACCACCAAGCCACCCCAATCTCCCCGGCCATCGGATCGATGGCGGACGCGGCTGGGATGGCGGAGAGGAAGCTCACGCTGAAGAGCGCCGACGGCAAGGAGTTCTTCGTGGAGGAGGCGGTGGCGATGGAGTCGCAGACCATCAAGCACATCGTGGAGGATGGTTGCGCCAACAACATCATCCCCCTCCCCAACGTCAACACCAAAATCCTTGACATGGTCATCAAGTACTGCAGACAGCACGTCCAGAAGCGCGGAGCCGACGCCGCCGACCCCACCGCGAAGGCCTCCGAGCCGGACCTCAAGACCTTCGATGATAAGTTCATAGACGTCGACCAGCAAATCCTCTTCGACCTCATCCTGGTGAGATTTCCATCCAACCCTACCCGTACCCGTGGTGCTCTTTCTAGTTAGTAGTTTAGTACTCGTCAAGGGGCTCTTGCTCCTGTTTAGATGCGGTTTTGTTGTCCTTTTTAACGGTTGGTGCCCCAGATTCGTGTCTCGTTTGCTGACAACTATAGTTGTGTTTACTGTAGAGTGTAGACTGGTGGCAGGTACTCTGACAAAATATTTGAAGGGTTAAATAATTTTTTAAGCGTTTGTAATCTCTCCCTAGGATGCGTGTTATTTCTCACCATATTTACATGGTTGCATGTCATAAGTGTTTGTAATTTCCCTGGGATGGAACAACTATTATATGATGAGCTATTTGATGATATTACTGAAAGTGTATTGCCTTACTAATATGTACTGTTTCTTATCATTTGTAAGATTTTTTTGTCTGATGTCTTTACTTAGAGCTATGCTTCTGTTTTCAGTTCTATGGCATATTTAACCAGTGTAAATTGCACTTGTATAACTTCAGTATTGTGCTCCCTCACCATGTGGGTGATGCAACAATATCTTGTTTATGTTGCTCCTGTTTCTTGTCTGTTTATAGTCTCTTTTGTATAAGAATGATACCTGACCATCTTGCTTGTATTTTGCCCTCAGCCCCTGACAGGCTGCGAACTACTTGAACATCAAGGGGCTGCTGGACCTGACCTGCCAGAAGGTCGCTGACATGATGAAGGGGAGGACTGTAGAGGAGATCCGCAAGACCTTTGACATCAAGAACAACTTCACCAAAGAGGAAGAGGAGGAAGTTAGGAGGGAGAACCAATGGGCTTTCGAATGAAGGTCGAGTGACGACAACTAAAGAAACAACTATCTCGTAATGCAAATGACCAGCAAGGAAGGAAACCCGGCTTTGTTAATGCCTGGGAACAATCGTTGTGGTTCGAAACTATGCTAGTAATAAGCTATAAGTACATTGTTCTGGTTCCGGTCAATCTGGGAGGTTTACCATTTGGTTGACTTCGTCATCTTTTGTTTGGTAGTATTTTGCTGCACTCTTGAACTTGGTTATGAGTTTGGTGCTGGTTGCTAGTTATTCTGCAACTAGTGCTAGTTCTAATCTATCGTTTTGCATGCCTCTGATGCGTTGAGATTTTTTCTCTCCATATGCTTTGAGTTTGACTGGTGAATTCCTGTTATGATGTTGTGGCGCTCCAGGTGAGCTGCCACCATGTGTTCACAAGCTTCTTGTTTGGCGGTGTGCAGTGCATTTGCATGTCACCCTATTCCATATGTCAACCCTAGCATCCTACGGCGACTCCAACAAGGATCACCAAATCGCCAGCAAATGTCCGACCAGGCACTTTAGGCTGCCTCTACTTCGAGCCTATATTTGTGATAAAAAATATGAGTCATATATTTAAGAAAAATAAACCATTAGATTCATATACAAAATTACATGGCACACAAAATATATACTTTTGAGGCATATACAAGATATACAGATTGAGGAGATCGTTTCCATGCATGTACAAAAGGCCGTTGACAACCTTTCCAAATGGCTAGCCAAGCACCGGTATGAGCGGATGACATGCCCACAACGTGAGACCAAGGAACAATGGTGAAGAGTTTGCACTATGAAAAGGAGAGGGAGGACTCCCATGACAAAGGATCCTGTTCTGCTTCGCTCCACCCGCCAAGTTCCTCCTATAGAGCCAACATTACCGCCACCACCATAGCAATATCTCCATATTTTTATTCTTGTACACGACATTCCTTAATGACCGAAGAGATAATAAGACGGTTTACTCATTCATCTTAAAGAAACCTTTTTGCAGTGCCTCTTGTTTGCGATCTAACCATGATGTGTGATCAAACTTGTGTGTGATTAGTCCTCACATCCCACATGTGTGCTTCATACGGAATCCATGGTATGTTTATGCTATGAGTTGGTATTTTTGTGTCTTCTTAATCCTATGATGCTGATACCCAATGCACCGAAGGTGCGCCAAAGAGGAGGCACATTGCAGGGCGCATGGAAGGCTACATCGAAGACTGGTGATAATAGGGATTAGTATGGTAGTCCGATAAAATTCATTTGGGGGGAGGGGGGATGATGCAGTCACAAATGCGCGTGACTCCAAGCTTTGGTGAAGGTGAGTGGCGGCATAGTCCCGAGGATCCACGCAACTCTGTGCTTGGAAAAGGTGAGCAATATCGAGGCGTCAAGGATCTGTGTGGGTCCGAGCTTGGTGATGGCGACGAGCATCGTGACATCGGGGATTTGAATGACTTCCGAGTTGGCAAAGGCGTGCGGCGTCGAGGATCAGTGTAACTCCAAGCTAGCGAAGGCAAAGGTCGCCATGACATCGATGAGCTTTTCACCTTTTGCAGGCAACGTTGTTTACATCACCTGTGTTTTACTTTGGCCGAAACTTGCTGAGGATTTAGCATCATCGATTCACGGCTTTTCACTTGGTGAGGAATTACCACTGTAGATTGCAATCTTGTTATAGTGAAAACAAAAGGTGATTAGTCGGCCTTATAGGGAAGGTTGGCGTACATCGATAATACTGACACACCAATGTTTTTATCTAATATGTTCAATCATCTTGACGGAGCACCGCCTATTCGTATGTTATGAAGGTGTCGAGGGAAGTCTGTCGTAGAGTCAAGCCTTTCTCATATTACTTCAACACCCTATCCGAACGTCTCTTCCTCGGCGCCGATCCAGGTCGTTCTCTACTATTTGGACTCAACTGTTCTAATCGTACGACGTCTATCCAAACATGGATAGTCAACAAAAGTTTGATCGTATGATTAATTATTCTCACAACACTTACTTTTCTGGTATGCATATCTCTATTTGGGTTAACCCGCCAGATGTTTTTAATAATAGTAAAATGATTTTAATAGATAAAGATGACAACATATTTTAAAAATAAAGTTTGACTAACAAGTAACTTAACTGTGTTTCACGCTTGAATGTTGAAGTATGCAAGTGAATTGTGAGACTCTTGGGAGAAGAGAGGGCATCATGATGGCGTGGGGAAAAGGCAAATCAATCATCTGTCTCGGGTGGCAAAACACTTCTCTCGGGTGACCAACCATTAATACCTTTCATTTATACTTGTATATGTTCCCAAAACGTCTAGACTCCTCTTTCCTAGAGCACGGCCGCCTCCTCTTCTTCCCACATGACCTGACCGCATATATTCTCCCCCTCCTCTTCCCGTCTTCCACTAGACCGTACTGGCGGGACGGACGAAGCAGGCAAGCCAGATTTGAGTCCGGGAGTAGGTGAAGAGAGAGTAACCTTTCCTGCATCTCATCTGTTGCTGATTCGTTCTTGTTAGATAATTTCTTTGAGACTAAACCTGCATCCTTTATTTATTTAATTTAACCTTTCCTATGACTCAGATCAGATCTGAAACTCTCTGAATTTATTTTATTTGTGTATATGGAAATCACGTTCTTTTTTGCGTAAAGTGTATAGCAAAGAAGTTGACAGGCACATTTACACAGTAAAATTGACCGGACATGTGGGAACCAAAGTAGGGCCTAGCATTCGTGGAATCAAACATTTTGGAATCTAGAGACTAAATTATGAGAATGTTTGTCATTAGCCGTATGAAAATCGTGTCACTAGATTTGTTGTCAATGGTTCATGCTGTGCTTATAGTATGTTGTTTTGCACTAAGAGACTTCACGGTAGAAGCTAAGTTAGATATATGTGCTTAGTTGCTTACCTTTAATATGCTATGCATTCATATCTTAATTCATTACTCACACTTTTTTTTACCTATTTCAGCAGCACAATGGCAATAATAGACTTCATAGACGTGATTGATGATATCATTGACTTGAGCAGTGGCGAGGAGAATGTTGAACAGGATGAAATCCCGACTCAGCCCCCCGCGGCGATGCTTGATAGGCAGGAGGTGTTTGTCGAAGCTGGTGATGGAAGGCAAGAGGCTGCCAAGTCCGGAAATATTATCCAAGCTACCACATGGTCCATGTTTAAGGAGAAAGGACCTCTTGGTACAACTGCAAACCAGAATTGCACTTCAATGACAGTACCACTCCCAAGTAATTACATTCTTCTCTATCCCATTTTATGTTCAAAAACCTTGTGTGCTTATCATGAAAATAGTACAAATATCAAACAACCATTGCAATGCCAATCCTTGTTTTCAGTTAACAGTGGCACCATGATAGAGATAAAAAGTTGTTACATCGCTGCAGGCCCTGCTTCAGCTGCTCTGGAGGCTCATCCCTCATCACAGCCGGACCAGACTGAAGAAGGGTCCTCTACTCAGTCCAGAGATACTATGACAGGTACCACTGGAACACCGTCCTTGGTTGCAGAGGAAGGGTCTCTTGATACCACTGCAACACAGAATTTTCCTCCAACATCAGTGCCATTCCCAAGTAATTACACTCTTCCGTACCACACTATTTGTTAAGTTGTGTGCTGGTCATTAAAATGTTCCATATCAACCAATCATTGCAACATCGATCCCTCTTTTGAATTAACAAAGACAACCTGATAGAGATAAGTGGTTATCGCTGCAGGTCCCACTTTCACGACTCCGAATGGTCTGGCATATGAAGGAGATAATGGAAGGCTGTTGAGGATGTATGGGAGACGTCCTAGGAAGAAGAACTACCATACCGAAACCGCTAGGAGAAGTCCTAGGTTCGAAGATAAGCATAAGGGTAATAAAAGGCTGTTGTAGAGCTGGGAGTCGATTGTAGAAGAATCAACTGCCTCAGCAAGCAATGCAGAATCATTAAAAACCCTCTCTGCCTACACCCCTGACTACCTGCATGTGTTCTCCCCATGAAACCATTTTGATGTTGTTGGCCCAGTCTAGATCCAAACAATGTTTGCACTTGTCCTGGCCCACTTGGGTATCTCCTGCATTATGGTTTTACTATGTGTGTTGTTCCTCACTTGCCTTTCCCTTGAGGTTATGAAGTTCAGTTTACCATGTAAGAGTAGCAGGGCTTGTACATGCTTGATTTATTTTATTTTTTGATACTTTCTGATAATTTAACATCAATGAGCCCATTCCAAATTAAAACTTTGGAAACGCTAGTGCTTTTCCGCTGGAAAAGGCAATCTAGGTTTGTGATACATGCTCTACCATTCATGAAGTGATAATTCACTAAAAAAGATCCGATGGAGTGATCATTCAATAACATGAGGCAGATAAGAAATATTTGCTAGACAGAATCTTTAAGCTTTTACAGATTGTAGAAAAAATGTGGAATCTTTTTATTTACTTGAGGAGAAATGTAGGTTTCATAATGTAGGACGATGACAAGCATCTTTGTGTTGCATACAATGTGGGTGATTGTTTGCTTAAACTACTCTCGATTTGCATGTCCATTTCTGCAATAGAATCTCTCTACAAGCTGCTGCTTCCAGTTAAATGTCACAAAAAGATTGCGAACCTCTTTTGAATGCGCATTATCAGGTGATATTTTAAATAAACTTGGGAAATGTACACAGTTTCTGCAGTTTGGGACTTGAGAAACTAAGTAGTAGCTGCAATATAACCAACAGGTTGGAAGTTGCACTGAATTTGTGAGGCCCATTGCATTGTGAAAGAATTCAAAAATAATGTTATGGTTTGGTATGCGAAAGCTACATTTTACTTGTGCTAAGAGATGAATTACAAAAAAAATAAAAAAATTCAAAGCTTATATCGGACGCTATGTTGGACAATGCACACAACAGTTGTTGATCTTTTTTTTTCTTCAGAAAGGGGTAACCCCTGCCTCTGCATCCGGCATCATGTGATGCACACAGCCACTTTATTAAAGATAAAAGTTCCAAGTCACCGAATACCAAAAGGTTTACATCATAACACACCAGGATTTATGTGAACCATGAATACAAACTTCGACAGAAGCATGATCCTCTGTCCCCAGTTTGATACATAATAGCACACAACTTGAACCGTCTCCAAGAGGGGGGAAAACTCTTTGAAATGCGACTCCGTCAACAATGGCATCTTCGGTTAAACTTTAGGCTTTGTTCGGTTAATCCCAACCCCAGGTGGATTGGAGGGGATTTGCAGGGATTCTGGCTTGCAGGGGATTAATTCCCCCTCAATCCCCTTCAAATCCACCTCAACCGAACAAGCCCTTAAGGTTCTTTGAGCATCAGGTCCAGCTTGCTCGCAGCAAAAAAAAATTCTCAGATATAAAAATGAAAAAAAATGATGTTAGTTTTTCATAAGGATACATTTACATGCATCTTATTCATGCCAATCTGAAAAAAATGATTTATAGAAGCTCCTTTCATGTGAACAAAAATTTGAAGAATCTGAACATGAACAATACGGTTCACAAAATGTATAATTTGCCATACATACTCTGCTACAGGTTATAAAGAACAGAATAAATTCTGGTGCAGGATCTTCAGATTAACCTCAATTGGTTGCACTTCACTCAGATCAAATACAAACTAGTAGCTGCATTACCACTATTTAGGCCATTTGTTCAGAACAAAGGGCGAAGCATTCCTACCCTTGCTTAGCTACATATTGCTGCTACCATTGCTTAGCTGCATTGCTGCCATGTCAAACTGATCTAGTACTGATATTGCCTAAACAGCTTAACCATCAGATGCCAGAATAATCATACATTCACACTAATCATCCATAGCCAGTAGTAATCCTTCCCAGCTCCTTAGTTGCATTAGTACTGAACTTGTTACCATAATCTTGATTGATTGGGTTGATTAGCTTGCACATGTGTGGTTTAGCCTCTAGTCATACATTCATACTAATCATCTAACTTAGCTGCACTAATCATCCATAACATGAAGGAGATCAAACACTTACTTCACTGCATCCTCCTCGGCGCCCTGGCATGCGGTGTAGTAGTTGACTTGGGAGCGACGGCGGCAGGTGGGATCAGATCGATCCGGACGGTGAGCGTGAGCGTGTCGCCGGAGAGTAGCTCCTGGGGCACCACCAAGAACATCCCCTTGCACGACGGCGGAGCGCCCGTGGACAGCGCGTTGCTGATCACCGGCGAGGTCATGAGGACTAGGTCGTAGTCCTTGTCGCCGCCACGGCGCTCAACGGAGAGCTTGCACCAGAACCGGGGCCCCGTCTCAGCCTCGCTGTCCGGCCTGATGCACATCAGTGACACGGCGGTGCCTGCACCGAGCGGGCAGAGGGAGACGAGGAACACGCTGCGGTCTTCCTCCCCGACGAGCAGGTGCCAACCGTGCGACAGGGAGAAGCTTAGACTCCAAGACCGGCCATAGCGGACCGTGACGGCGGGGCGCTGGTGATGGGCGGCGAAGTGGTCGACCAGCATCGCGCGGGAGCCCATGAAGGTGCATGCAGACTCCGGGCAGGTGCAGGGCGCGCACTGGCACACGCGCTGGTGGTCCGCGGCCTCACGGAACACCACGTAGCGCTCGCAGCCGAACGCCTTGTAGGGGCATGGTACCTTGGCGGCGCCGACCACCTTGTCCAGCTGGCCGCAGTGGGTGTTGGCACGGCTGCAGACGACGCGGTGCCCGGCACGGCAGTAGTAGCACACTACGTGCCCTACGGCATCGCACTGCCACAGTAAACGCAACCACACGCAAGTTTGTTTTAACAAAAGGAGTATAACGTTTGGTCTCTGCATCATTGCGATGCACACAATATAGATGAAGAAGATGACAAATGTCTTGCATCCACGTGAATATAAAATAAATGTATCATCTTCCGAAAATCTCAAAGGAATCCTCTCAAAAAGATATAGAAAGAGGTTCTTTTTTGTTCTTTCAAAAAAATTGGTCGCTTTGGTGTGAGAGGAGAGATAACCTTGAACACGGGGGGCTTGAGTGGGAGGAGGCAGCCCTGGCAGTGGAGGAGTGTCACGTCCATCCTCACGTCGATTTGCGTCGGTGCCATGGATTCCGCCGCCACCAACGCATCCCCTGCTTCGCCTTCGTCCTGCATCGTCACCTCCCCTTTCTCCGACTCCGACTTCACCTCCTTGGCACTCACCCTTGTTGCACGACTCTCCCCTTCCTTCACGGTTATTTCTAGTCACACCGTGTGTTTTAGTGGGGAAATAATGAAAGAGAGGGGAGAGTGAAGACCTAAGAGGAAAACTGGGGCGGCCATTGCGGCAAATGTTGGAGCCAGCAGAGCATACCCCAAAAGGAAAGATAGGTGCCAATAATTTTAGCATGCCGATAATGTTTGTTTTAACTTTTCAAAGAACTGATCTTTTTTTTTGATCTTTAAAGTATTGCTATGTAGGTGGAGTTTTTATTTGGGATAATATAACTTTGGGATCCACTTCACGTACAACCCCTCTAATAAAACCAACGCTTGAGATTAAGATGTGCCTCTTCGGATGAGAGGGTGTGATGGTCCAGTTGACAAGTAATTATTGCTTTACAAAACACACAATGTGGGATAAGATCTTACTAAACTTAACAGATGTAAGGCCAAATCCACCGCGTGACCCCAAACGGACGTCCGTTTTGTCCGGATTCTGTCCGTTTGGGTAGGGCAATGGGGTCGTGTCCGGGCAATTTCCGGGATGCGGTGGCCGTGCGTCCAGCGCGCGGACGCATCCGGGCCGCATCTTGTCCGCGTGCACATTTCTTTGCAAGTCCTTAAACTTTTTTTCATCATTCATTTTTGATACATGACAATACATCATCACATTTTGACTAGTAAAGCAAGGTCAAAGAAAACAAGAACCACAAGAATACATTTGAGAAGATATCCAACTTCTATAACTGCTCCCTTGAGTTGGGCTAGGGCCTTCTCGATGCACTCATTATTGATCTGTGGAGGAGGCTCGACGTTGCACCCTCCTTTCTTCTTCAAGCCAGAAGTCGATGTTTGCTTCCTCATACGTAGTATCGTGCCTAGCCTCTAATCTAGCAACAAGTGCACTTGTCTCATCTACATCCTCTAGGCTAGCTAAAAGTGCACGAACATGTACTAAATTTGGCTCTATCAATATATCGATGTACTCTTCTCCCCAATACCAAAACTTGCATCCATTCTACATAATAAAACTTAAAGTTAGCACAACTAGTCTAATCCGAAAGCACAAACCGAAGCTAAAAAGAGCACATACCCCATCGTTTAGGCACTTGATGAACACCCATCCGGGATGTTCCGGCGTTGTAGACACGCGGCGCACGACCATCCTTGGGCAGTGGTCGCACTTGATGAGGGGCAACGGTGTGCCGACGAGCTTTTGGGCAAGCATCGAGCCCGGTCGGCCGCCATTCGTGTATCTGCCGGCGGACCACCGACGGTGCAGATCCGAGCGGCTAGAGGACGAGCCACTGCCTGCATGTGGCCTTGCGGCCCTGCCAGGGCCTTCCGGCGAGGTGCCCGGTCAGTCCATGGCACAGCCCGGCCTCCCACAGCCGGGCGAGCTCAAGACCGACCGTATCCGCCCCAAATCCGGCCGACGGGTGCGCAAACCAGGTGGCCGTGGTTGGGTAGCTCGGCGGCGACGAGGAGAAGGGGCTGGGCGAGCGCGCGTCCGAGTTGCACGGCTGCAATGGCAGCGGCGGCGGCGGCGGCGGCGAGGGGAAGAGTGGAGAAGAGTGGAGTGGGATGCGACCGGATAGAAAAAGGCCCGTCCTTGCCACCGACGGGCGGGCCAGGGGAGGACACGCGCAGACGGCCGTCGCGTCCGCGTGGTGTCCGTTTCACCACAAAAACGACGCAAACTTGGGCCGCGGATG